TGCAGTTGTGCTGCCTTTTCTCGCAAATGATGCATTATGTGTGCTTCTGTGTTCACATATGACCTTCACATCTGGCATAGCATCTTCTAGTATTTGTTGTGAATGACATCGTCGTGTATGCTTTGGATTTCTTTTGTTGCTTACGGAATTGAATGTACTTGTTTGTGTTTTAATGTTGTTGACAATAAAAGCACCCTGACATTTACTGCTTATTGTTTGTCCCTACTTGCAAAGGATCAATATACTCAGTATGTTCTCCCAATCTTTTGTCGTTGCTTGCAAGTATCTACATTCATTATGATTTATTGCCTTGACTTGCAGACAATGTATTGCATGCATAATGTATGCGTTGGATCATCATATTTAGTATGCATTGACCGCTTTCGCTTGTAGTAAATTGTTCAAAGTTGAATTGTCGTCAATGATGTAGATGTTGATGCATTCATTATGTGCTCTTCATGTTCTACCCATGGACATCTTATGTAATCAAGTAATATGTTCGTTGCATATTTGATCAATACAGCTCGCGGAGGTTCAGTGCATTTGTTTCATAGTCAAGTAGCATTGACTGTGCACTAGCTTTTATGTCCTCTTTTAGAATATTCACTGCCATCATCTTGCCTCTTATTGTTTCTTGCAAGCAAATTGTGTCATGAGTTCTTCATCAGTAGTTCATTAATGCTCACTTGTACATTGTAATTATCTCAAATCAATCAATTCCCTAATCTTTCATTACATTTGTGAGCGAGTGGTATTGAATTAGTGTGCATGTCTATCGATCGACTGTTGTTGATAGTAGGCATAATATCTTTCATGATAGCCTTTTTCCTTAGCTTATGGATATGTTGCATTCTTCATGTATGTATTGGTTGGATCTCTTATTCCCACCTCTAAATAATTATATGTGTAATAGAGCTCTCTCATCACATCATCAGTTGGTTTATAATATGAGTGATAACACTAGCATTATTGCTAATTGGCGATATGCATTTAACTTGACATAACTTTTATGAATCTATCATAATATTCATTAAAGATTTTGCATTATAACATGTAAGTAGGCTGCATTTGAGGCTCCTTGTTCAGCACAAGCTAAATATTTGCCCATTTGTGATTCATTATTCATTACTTGATGAATTGTAGATTCCTTTTATGCCTTCACGCAAGCCCGGTTCATTATTTTCATTTATGTTCCAAGTGGTCCAAATTAAGTTCAAGTCCAATCCATCGCATTTGATTTAAGTTCAAGTCTATATTAATCGTTTAAGTTATGTGTTCTCTTGCATTATGTTCAAATTCAAGTCCCCTGTTTAACTGAAAAATCTGGCAGTCTCCTGGCATCTCCCCCGTTTAGAGGAAATCCAAGAGATATAGCCTTCCCCTCCATGCTACGTGAGCGCTTCAGGTAGGTGTCAGATGACACCGTGGCGGCATTTCTTCTATCCCCTTCACGCTACGTGAACACTTAAGGGTCTTCGGGGGTACCTGTTTGAAGAATCCGCAATTTTCTTTCCCCCGCCACGCTACGTGAGCACATAAGGGTACTTAGAAGTGTCACTGTCACGCTACGAGAGCGTGTATAGGGTCTACCTGCCTCACCATAAGCATCACACCGACTCCCTCCCACAATGCTACGAGAGAACGTATAAGGGTTTTTCGGCTCGTTGCAAATGCCTAAAATGGGGTTTGAGTTTGAAAATTATACCTGCGTGACGATTGGTGATGACGACGATCATGGTTATGTTGAAATGACGGCAAAAACGTGCCAAATCCCTCGTCCTTTTTTTTATTCTTCATTTTTCTTTCTTTTTTTTGTTGGACTTCTCCTTTTTTTTAATATTTCTTTTTTCCTCATTTTTGTATTTTTTTCCTTTTTATTTCTCCTTTTTTATTTCTTTTTTTTAAATTTTCTCCCTTTCTCTCTCTCCTCATATACAGAAAGACCTTCACACGTGGGAGACAGGGTGCAAATTCAGCGCCATTTGCAGAGCTGGGTACTGTAGCAGGCCGTGGGACGTGACTATAGCAGAGTTTCGACATGGGTAGCTACATAGGTGTATTTTATATAAATTTTTATTTGATTTTTCTTGGTTTTTTGTTTATTAGAGGTTAACACAACTTTTGGGTCAGTGCATCAGTATTAACAGTAACACCCAACACAGCCATTTTCATATCCTTTTTGGGATCATTCTGAGTCCTGAAATAAAGTAAAACATCAAATTAAAATTCATACTTATATTAGATCAAGTTTCTTATTAGACTTAATAAGCCTAATGACTCTTTCGATACGATTCATACTTTATTTAGACTCTAATACCACTTATGTCATGATATGACCCAGATACTCAAATTAATAAGGCGGAAGCAGATGATTGGATGGTTAGTATAATTATTTTAATGACATAAAATACTCAATAGACTAATATCCAACATATAACTGAAGAGACACTAAGCTAATATTTTCACTTTGAATATATAATAAGCCAATTTACCTATTATTATTTGATTCTCTTCTTCTATAAAAGAATTCTTTTCTTTCAGTCATTTAATTCATAGAAGATTTACCTGACATTTTAAATTTAGCAATGTGTTTTCATAATAAAACTTTGTGGATAATTACTATTCATATCATAATAAATAGAAGTGTATACAAGTAGTCATGTTCACTTATCAAACTTTTCATTAGTTTCATATATATATGGAAATTTAATATAATGAAGATTTAAGTTTCATCCTTTAAATATTATTTATTCCTTTTTTATTTCATTTGTTGTTTTCCCATTTCATTTATTACAAGAACACCATCAAATTTTGTACCAATTAAGATACAATCATTTTTATTTTACGTGCACGAGTACGTTCATCCCCAGCTAGTACCATAAGAGGGTAAACTCTTGTATTTGCACGTATTTTTCCTTTCCCTTTCCTAATTTTTTTGTTTCCTTATTATAAATCATCTTATTACTTTCATTTTTTCTTTCAATAATGCATATCATGTAGTATAATTAGTTTTTATATTTATATATATCATTTTATAACATTGATTTGCCAACATTCATCTATATGATGCGAAGTAAATACTTCATAATTTAATTAGTATAAAGATATGATATTGTATCAAATTATTTCATTAAAACAAAATGGAACAATATAACTGCTATAAAAAATTAATTATAATCACCCATATAAATTTTTCATGAACATATATGTAACCTTACATAAACTCTCCTTTAGATTTCTTGTTGCTTTAGTACTTTATTTCAGTTCAACTATATAAATTCTACACTGTTCCAAAATAACATCAATAATATTTTAATTAATACTAAGATTTAACTTCGATGATCCAAATACCATCAAAGAACATTAAATATTTCTTATATCCCTTAAGATAACATAGATTTCTCCAATTATTACCAAAGATGTCTTTCAAAGTATTAAATGTCCCTACAATAACATCGACTGTTTATAAATTATCACACAATCATTATTATTACACTATCTACTTTTAAACCCTAACACATTCTGAAATTAAATATTCCTTAAATTATATTAATTACCTTAATAAATTCTTCTTTCCTTCCTTGTCAAATCAAGAGTTCCAACACTTTTGATTTCTTCCTGTTGAGCAAATAGTTTCAATCAAAACTAAAATTTATGTATTTATTTCTTTACTAAAATTAAAGAGGAAAAATGAAAATTTAAGCAACTTACTTCCTTCCTATCATCAAAAATGAAAGCTCACTTTTTCTTCCTCCCAAAAAGTCCTAATCTTTCAATAGCCTTAACAATAGACAAATTTTCCTCTTCTTTTCCACAAAATTCTTTCCCTTCTCACCCAAAATCTTCTCTTATGCTCATCCCTGCTGCTCCCAATTAGTGTTTTATGTCAATTGGATTTACTGGATGGAATCAAATGGAGTTATTCCTCATGAGGAGTTGCGGCTTTTCACTTCCAAATGCAATTCTTACCTCGGTTTGCTCTCCCACACTAGCCCACACACCCTATGCTTCGCCCATGCTCGCACGCTCACAAGATCGAGCCCACCCGCTCTTTCTCTACTATGGGACCGATTCAATTGAACCGGTCCAATTCCAATTATAACATTAAGCTTATGTTTCATGTTGGTCCATATTGATTTTATTCAATTTAAAAAACTTTGCAAAAAAAATTGAGCAAGTTCCACTAATTTATTTCAGCAACTATAACTTTTTTGGCAATGAAAATAATAACTTTCAAATAAGTCTTACAAATTATAGGTCGATCCTACAAATTTTCAAAGATGATGCCCCCATCAAATATAGGAATATATTTTTGAACCACACCACAATTAAGTTGTTGCTAGAGATATAATTTACCTATTTCTGTCTAAATTGGGCATTTATTAATTATATTATATACATTATATATTTAATATAAATGCTTAATTCGAGCTAAATTTAGTGTTGACCCTAACTATGTTCGACTGAGACAAATCAAAATCCAAATCAATTTTGAATTGAGAGCAGAGAGTAAAATCAAGTCAAGTCAAATTTAGACTGATTTTCAAGCAAGTTTCAGGTTTCAAGCTTTTTTTACAACCTTAGAATCAATAAGGAAAATATAGACAATTCATGGCAAAACTAAGCTAAAAAATCTCGTAATTCAAATAACAAGTCATTGAATACTTCATGGATTTGAACTCAAGTTCCAAAAAATGTTATATAATTTGTATATATATTATGCTCCAGCATAACACTCAATCACATCTCTAGCAAAAGAGGCCACTCACTACCATCACATTCTCCGTATACCTACCATGACGACATTGCAGAGAATTGTCGCATATATTAACAACAGTCACAGACCAAACAACAGCAAACTTTAATAAAATTTTAAGTTTATAGCGCCACGGATTTATTGCAACATCATGAACAATGATTGCCCCTATTTCACAATGAAAGAAAGAAAGCATACAAGTGGATTTTTAGACAATTTAAGATCAATAAAGATGGCAGCTTACCAAGAAGCAAATCTTTTCCTGGCCAAACCAAATTAATGTTCAAGTCCTTGTACTTTCCATGATACCTAACCCATGGAACTCCTTTCGGAAACCTACTCAACAATCATGTAAGAAAAATAATAATAATATAACAGGTGAAACAGGGGTTAAAACTTAAAAAATAACAAAGATACACATTTTAACAATCTATGATTAAAAACTATATAATTAAGTGACCATATCATCCTAACAAGCATCGGTGGAAAGAGCATCAACAATTAAAATGCTTCAATTATAAAACATTAACAAGGCGAAGCATAATGACTTTTTTTTTATAACATAATGACATTGAACCCATACCCATGTTCCGATCACAAGCTCAAGCATCACGAATTGTACCACAAGTTCAGTTCTGCCAGATCTCCATTTCATGAGAACAATTTTTGCAACAGTACAACTATGTAAATATTATGCTAGCCGATAGCTTACCGAAAATATGACTTATAAACTCAAGTCTGCATTTTCGTACTGGTAATAAAAATAGTTTGAAAATCATCAATAAAACAAATAGAATAAAAAACACAATAAATACTAGCACTAGGAGCTGTTTGGGATTGCTTCTGTTTTGTGTTTTTGTTTTTGTTTTTGCATGTGGTTTTTAAAAGCATATTTTTTGGTGTATTTTTTACATGCTTTTATATTAGGCGTTTTGAGTGTTTTTAAAAGGAACTCGCAGAGATTAGATGTAAACACGTGATGAGATATCTATGTATGTTCAAGAATGTGGCAGGATTGGTCTTATTGCTCAAATATTCATTTGGTCACAAATTTGACAAGCAACAATAAGAATAGTTTAATTAAATAAATTAATGAAAATATCTTTTATTTCCCAACTTTTGGCCACCATCGTTATTGCCACTAGCTTCCAACACCGATTAGCCGACACTCAAACAAACGCCTCCGTTACTCCACAAGCGACTGCTGCTAGCACCACACAAATCAATTTATTTGATATTCAATCAAAACAAAAAATAGCATATTTGTAACATATCAAATATGTTTTATTTCAAATCAAAATATAATAAAAATATAAAGCAAAAGAGATCCAAAACGACTCCTTAAGAAATCATAATATAGTTCACCATTACAAAACAAGTGTCCACATCATCATGAAATTGATAGGAAACGCTTGAAGATTTCAAGTAAATCCTATCAATAGAGGCAAAAATTGCAATGTGCTCCGCAAATCCAATGGAAAAAAATTAACAAAATAATAATTTTTATTAAAGAAATCAAACTAACAGATGAAATAAAGTAAGATACAATTAATCCTCTATTCGAGAGGAGGATCTTTCTCTCTGAAATCTCTAGATGCCGCTAGAGCCCAAAGAAACTAAGAGATCTCAATTTCAGCCAAATTCAAGATGTCCTAACCCTAGGAAAACAAACTATTTAATATGCACAAATCAAAAGGAAATCTCTAAACAGTCCCTACATTTAATTTCCCTCCTAAACTTTCTCAAAAAAGCTTCCAAAAATGCTATGTTGGCTCCTGCGATTGAATCAACATACAGTAGAGGCGGAAGAGTTCTGCCTTTGTTTCACACGGGATAGTTCCGTAGGACCGGCTAGACCAATTCAATGGACCGGTCTAACATAAATCCAAACCAACATCACCCTTAATGACAGACAAATGCAGTAGTACTTTAAAACCATGATTTTTTATGTTTGGCATACTATCACTATTGTTATTAGTTTCATCAGTCTCTAGCCGCCTAAAACTGCAATATGTTTCATTATGGCTAAACCAACTCATCTCATCATTGAAACTTCAAAGATGACTACCTTTAGCATATAAATACTAACAATTTTTTCTCAATTAGCTTAGTTGATAAAAATCTTGAAAGTTGCTGCAAAGATCATGGATTTAAACCTCATCCACCTTAAATTGTCGCAAATATCATGAGTTCAAAGTTCGTCTATATATGGAGAATTGAGAGACATGATCACATAAAGAGCTAATCACCTAAAATTCAAGCTTCATACAAAATGTCCTGCTGTCTACCAAACAATTAACAAGGTCATATTCGATGCTTGCCCAATGTGATCCCCACCATTCAGCGCATAAGAACATTACCTGAATTTGACAAATCAAATGACATCACACGTCCAACAAAATCCCATATTCGGAACTTAATGAGCACCATTTAGACTATCAACAAGATTTTCGAACAAAAGCCGCAATTCCCGATGTTGAGAATGAAAGTTCGTTAGGGATGTTAGGCCCCTTATAAACTGGTCCAAGGCTAATAAAGAGAGAGGTGAATTGGAAAAAAAGAATCTTTAAATCAAAATACAAACCAAAACTAATATCACCACAATAAAATAAGTGCGGAAATTAAATGCGGAAGTAATAAAGAAAGAACACACCGAATTTATAGTGGTTCGGTCAAACCTTGACCTACATCCACTCCTCGGAGGCACCCTCCGAGTATTGCACTACAAAAGTGTCTCTCCTTTAGCCCCCACAGTTAGGCGGAGAAGCCTTTACAAAATCACTTCCACCTTCTCTAGTGCGGCTGAGTCGTCGGGTCCTTTGACACCAAAGAGATCTTCTTCTTTGGTGAACTTCCCTCAAGACAAGCCTTGAATCCGACGGTATTAAGGTGCAAGCCTGCCGGAGCAACCGTGTGGAATCCCTCTCCACACTCCCTTGAGTCTCCCCTCACAGGATCTTCTCCCTCTCTCAGACTTCACCCGTTCCTCACTCCCTTTCAATCTCTCTCTTCAAGTTTCCACCAAAAGAACGAAGCTACAATGGCTGCAAAAGATATTTACAAAGTGCCTTGCTAAAGCTTAAATAGAAGATCTCAAACCGAACTCAATAATGCAAGTTGTCGATATTATCGTCCAGGACGATAGACATATTGTCCTGACCGATCAGTACAAATTAAGCTCATCAGTCCGGGACGATTTGGGACGATCAGAAGAAAATTGGTTACATCGTCCTGGACGATATAACGATCGTCCCAGACGATTAGTTTAAAACTGATTTCAATCGTCCTGATCATCGCCCGAAATAGATGCTGGCCGATGTAAATCATCCAGGCAATCGTCCCAGACGATGTGATCGTATCAATCAGCCATTAATGCTATCAAAATATACCAGATCAATTTAGGCATAATTGAGTTAGATCGCCCTGGCCGATTGCCTAAAATAAAGGATACCTAATCTGATCATGGCGGCTGATTCTTTCTGAATTGAGCATATCATCCAGGCCGATCATCTTATGACGGCTGCTTTAATGAGGATGCCCTAATTAGGGTTTCTATTTTTGGACAGATCGTCCAGGCCGATATAAATATCGTTCAGGACGATGTTACCAAAAACAGAGATCTTTAGGAAACAATAGAAAATCTTCCAAGTTACAAAACATCAGGAGCCACACCAAAAATACAATAGACTCAAGAAAGAAAAAAGTGTACAAACTAACTCAGACCTAGTCTACCCAATCTTGAGCTGGTTCCAAATTGCAGTCAGATCGTATAGACCTGAAATGTCAGAAAATAAGACAGTCGTAGAGAAATAAAAGTGTTTGATATCATCAAAATCATCATCCATAAAAATAGATCCGCAACAATCTCCCCCTTTTTTATGATGGCAAATATTAATTTGAATTTGCAAACAAGAAACATTTTCTCCTAATCTCTCCCTCACTAGAATAAAATTTTTAAAAAATAGGGGAGATAAAAATATTTTTGTATTTTTGTTGTTTTTAATTTTTTGAGAAAAAAGATACAAACAGTACAAAATTCATCAACAGTACTTTCTCCCCCTTTGACATTATCAAAAAGAGAAGGGGCATAAACGATTAAAAGATAAGAACGATCCCTGATCTAGTGAACAAAACAAATATTCTTAAAAAGAGAAAGTTACCTCTTGATTTTATTCAAAAACTTAGGGGCTGTTTGGTTGCCTGAATTAGGAGTGTAAAGTAAAAGAAATACATGTATTTACTAAATTAGGTTGTTTGGTTAATTTTGAGCGAAATAAAAGGAACTCATCCGATGCATTAGGCGTGTAATAAGGAGGTTGTTTTGCGGGAATTAGAAACCCGCTCGTATCGAGCGGGTTATAAATTCGCTCGACGAAGATTTAGTTGGCGTCGTTGCTGTTCGGCTTCATTGCTTCGCAGGTGGTGTAAGATTGCACGAGAGGGTTCTTCGGCTCCTTCGTTCTTCTAAGACTTCGCGCGACAACGACGTTCCCTTTGCCTGTCTGATCGGAAGTTGCGCCATTTTCATCGGAGGTAAGGACGGGAGCTCGAGTTCGCATCATCGTCGTTGCTGTTCGGCTTCGGTATAAAGTCAAATTTCACATAGCAGAACTCTCTTTACTGGAGTGTTGAGCACTTACTCATGGTGGAGAAAGGGGGAAAGGGGTATTCTCAACCCAAAGGAAAGACGCTCAAGAAATCAATAGCGACAAAGCCAGGTAAAGAACAATCTGTTCGTCTTTGATACCCACTGCTTTCCCCTGAGTTCCCGTGAGAAATTTCACAATGTGGTGGGATATGCAGATTCTCGGCTTTGGCTTTAGCGATGGTCTCAAGGGTTATTTTTAAGCCGATCATTAGGGTTTTGGATTTGAGATTTTGGATGAGCTAGGAAATTTTCTTGTAAATGTGCCTTATTGAGTTATCGCCCGTCGCATTTGGTTTGAAGTACTTACTGGGGCCTTTATATTTTCTTTCTTTTACATCCTTGTCATGCAAATTCGTGATTTGGTTTTCAGAAAGGTTAAATGAGGTCTGCTGCTAAGTTTGAAGAACATAGTTGATAGTTGGGAATGCAGCGGCTGATGTTTATCATTTCTTTGGCCATACTGGGATTTAATTTTGACTGTTTATTTTAAAAAATAATTGCCAGTTGTTTTTCGTAGTTGATTATTTACATAATAATCATGTATGCTATAGCTTCCCAACTGCTTTTGCTTTTAACTCTGGCGGTATTGAGGTATATTTTTTGGAAAAGGGGGGTACTTCATACTTGCATGCAACTATGCAACAGAGGATTTAATAATCCTGCTCAAGTAACTCTTGTAAAAATGGATTTTGTAAATCCTGAGGTTTTCTAATTTAAGTTCAATGTTAAATAATAATAAGTCATTTGGTACATTTACTATACTATTGAACCATATTTATGCAGTTTATGAGCTAAAAAAGTCAAACATGATTGACATTTGGAGCTATATATTGAAACATATTTGCTCTCTATATATTAGGGAAAACATTATCAACAAGTTAAATCATAATTATTTGATGTAAAATTAAAAAAAAATTAACCTGACTCAAATTTAAAGCTAAAGATGATAATATTCGATGTTAGAGAGTTTATAGCATTAATTTGTCTGAAGAAATTTTAAAATTTTGGCAACTTTTTTAGTAAAATTATCACTTATGTCGATGATATTTTGAATTTTCGTTTAAAAAATTTGTACTAAAAAAATTTGCTTAATGAAATAGTTAAAAAGTTGTACGAAATAAAGCCTTAGCTTTTGTTATCGACGGCTTTCTTACTGTTTTTTAAAGTAATTGATACAAAATTTTTTTGAACAAAATTTTATGTAGTAAGAAGCTGTTTTAAAAAGCAATAAAAAAGTTATCCCAAATGAAGACTTAAATTTTGTTTGGGATGATTTTTTTATTGCTTCTTAAAGCCATTTTTCAGTGTAAATGTAAAAATAAAAAATTTTAAATTAAAAAGTTGTTTTAAGAAGCAATAAGAAAGTCGTCCCAAATGAAGTACTTGTCATCATAATTAATTAATTAAGCTCAAGCTCAAATTAGAGGTGTACAAATAAATTATTATAAAAAAACTGTTTTTACTTTACTCTGGTTCTACCTAACCAAACAAGGGAAACAATTCTCCTGTGTTTATTTTGCAAACAACCAAACAGTCTCAAAGTATTCAGAATACATTGCATTTACTTTACACTGTATTTACTTTACACTGCATTTCTTTTTCAGGCAACCAAACAGCCCCTTAGTGAGAAATGGATTGACAACGCATAATCTAAAAAAGGTTAGAAATTCAAAATTTGATAATCCAAAACTCAAGTTCTTTAAAAAGACTAAAAAACTTTTTAATTCAATATATAAATCAAGGAATAAATTAGAGAAAGAAACAGTCATTTTTCAAAAACTCCTTCCATAAAATATATCTAATAGAAGATCAATGCACGAATTGTTAAATCATGAATCAAATTTTTTAAACTCAAGTATCGAAAGTATCAAAGATTTTCTTAAGCTTTAAGAAGTACAAGAACTGTAAGCATTAAACTTTGTGGGCTCATTTTATGCCTCTTGACAATTGATTGACGCACTGCGCATCTTTTGATACACTTTGTGTATTCTATTTTTTTCAATTTGGCGTCTTTGCGCATCTTTTATTTTTTGTATCATTGGCCAATTTTTTGTATGCTACCTTTCTGAAATTTTAAAAACCAAAAGTAAACCCAAATTATTGACAACACGCTTGATTAAGAAAATTTTAAGGTGGATTCAACAATCTTGCAAAACATTCCTATGCAATAGAAAAAATGTAGGGAGATGAAAAAAAATCAGTTTCAAAATCCAATTTAAAATATGATGAATAATTTGAATCAAAAGTAAAATACCCTCTTTAAGAAGAGAGAAAGAGAAACAAAATCATGAGTTCCCTTCCTCTGAGTGTTTTTAGATAAATCAACCACAACTTTCAAGAAAAATACAGGAGGTAGATTTTTCTTTTTTTTTAGAAAAATGATCGTGTGTGTTAATCAGAGAGAAACCCAAAAAAAATTTAACGAAAAAGGAAAAGAAAGAAAAAGATAAAAAAAAGACAATCACAAAAACAAAAGATCAAATAAAACATGCAAACAAAAAAAATACAAACAAAGGTTTAAGCATCATCTTGCTCCTGGTCCAATGCTTCAGAGACCATGTCTGCCTAAGAAATTTTTTGTTTTTCATTATTTGACCAGTTTATAATTTGCTTTGCTTTAGCTTTTTCTTTTGTAGAAAGAGTTCTCAAATTAAGACACTGATTTTTCATATGTCCAGGCTTCCTACATCCAAAGCAAACAATGTCAAAAGAACTTTTGACATTCTTACCATTTTTATCTTTATTTTATTTTTGTTGATGATTATGCTTTGATGAGCTTTTTAATTTGCTTGACCAGTTATTGCTTTCATCACCAACTAAGCTACCTCTTTCCGTATCTTCAGCTTTTAGCAATATCGTTTTACCTGCATCCAAAAGTCTTTTGACCCAAACTTTGCTCGTAGGCAATGAGTGAGCCAATCAAAATATCAATAGAATATTCATTCAAATTTTTTTATTCACAAAAAGCAACAACTTTAGCATCAAATTTATCTAATATACAACGAAGAATTTTATTAACTTTTTCAAAATTTGAAAATTATTTACCTAAAGCATGCAATGATATCACAATTTGAATAAACCTAGTATACATGTCTAAGATTGTTTCATAAGATTTCATGGAAAATATTTCATAATCATGCATTAACATATTCAACTTGGATTGCTTGATTTCACTAGTGCCTTCGTATATGGTGTGTAGTTTATGCCAAATTTTCTTACCAGTAGTGCACGTGGATACTAACATAAAATCTTCAAAATTTAAAGTACAGCAAAAGCAATTTAAAGATTTTGCATTCAATTGAGCATCGATTTGTTCATCTCTGATCCATTGACTAAAAGGAATGTCAGTTTTAATTCCATCTAAAATGCGTGACGGTAATGAATAACCAGTTAAAATCATATGCCACATGCGAAAATCAATTGATTGTAAAAAATTAGTCATGCGAATTTTCCAAAAATCAAAAATAATATTTTCAAATAAAGGTGGTCTGGTGATTGAATAGCCTTCCGCAATATTATGATTTGAAAAATTAGCCATGTATCGAAATTCAAAAGCTTTTAAAAACTAGATTTTATGAATACTGTTCTGATGCCACTTGAAAGTTCATTAGGGATGTTAGGCCCCTTATGAACTGGCCCAAGGCTAATAAAGAGAGGTGAATTGAAAAAGAAGAATCTTTAAATCAAAACACAAACCAAAACAAATATCACCATAATAAAATAAGTGCGAAAATTAAATGTGGAAGTAATAAAGAAAGAATACATCGGATTTATAGTGGTTCGGTCAAATCTTGACCTACGTCCACTCCTCGGAGGCACCCTCTGAGTATTGCACTACAAAAGTGTCTCTCCTTTAGCCCCCATAGCTAGGCAGAGAAGCCCTTACAAAATCACTTTCACCTTCCCCGGTGCGGCGGAGTCGCCGGGTCCTTTGACACCAAAGAGATCTTCTTCTTTGGTGAACTTCCCTCAAGACAAGCCTTGAATCCGACGGTATTAAGGTGCAAGCCTGCAGGAGCAACCGTGTGAAATCCCCCTCTACACTCCCTTGAGTCCCCCCTCATAGGATCTTCTCCCTCTCTTAGACTTCACCCGTTCCTCACTCCCTTTCAAGCTCTCTCTTCAAATTTCCCCCAAAAGAACGAAGCTACAATGACTGCCAAAGACACTTACAAAGTGTCTTGCTAAAGCTTAAATAGAAGATCTCAAAATGAGCTCAATAATGCAAGTTGCCGACATTATCATCCAGGACGATAGACATATAGTCCTGGCCAATCAATTTAAATTAAGTTCATCAGCCCGGGACGATTTGAGACGATCAAAAGAAAATTGGTTACATCGTCCAGGACGATTAGTTTAAAACCGATTTCAATCGTCCTGATCATCGCCCGGAATAGATGCTGACCGATGTAAATCGTCCAAGCAATCGTTCCGGACGATCCTACGATCACCCCAGACGATGTGATCGTATCAATCAGTCATTAATGCTTTCCAAATATACCAGATCAATTTAGGCATAATTGAGTTAGATCGTCCTGGACGATGTGTATATCGTCTTGGCCGATTGCCTAAAATAAAGAATACCTAATCTGATCATGGCGGCTGATTCTTTCTGAATTGAGCCTATCATCCTGGCCGATACAAGTATCGTCCAGGCCGATCAGCTTATGACGGCTGCTTTAATGAAGATGACCTAATTAGGGTTTTTTCTTTTGGACAGATCGTCCAGACCGATATAAATATCATCCCGGACGATGTTACAAAAAACAGAGATCTTTAGGGAACAATAGAAAATCTTCCAAATTACAAAACATCATGAGCCACACGAAAAATACAATAGACTCAAGAAAGGAAAAAGAGTACAAACTGACTTAGACCTAATCTTGAGCTGGTTCCAAATTGCAGTCTGATTGTATAGATCTGAAATGTCAGAAGATAAGGCAGTCGTAGAGAAATAAAAGTATTTGCTATCATCAAAATCATCGTCCATAAAAATAGATCCGCAACAGAGAAGGTAATGTATCTTTGCATTTCCCATTCTTGGCCACTCCTACAAATTAATTGCACATTTAAAGCCTAACTATCTTCTAACAAATTCTACATAAATTATGATCACAATATCTTTTAAATAATGATCGGTCGGGCAAACTAGGCCTCCTGAATGTCACCTATCCTATAACGAACTAAGAAACGAGTAAATCAATGAGAAGGGACAAAACTCTAGGGTACTCACAAAATTCCATCAGTGTCCTCTGAGAGCTGAAATTTGCTGACCAGGGGAAGAGCCTCCGTCTGCATCGCTGATAGACGCATAAGAAATAAAAGGAATATAAGGAAGCGTCATTGCGGAATCAAAAGTACCACGTCAATTTGGAGAAAAGGAATCTAGGTGGGGTTCTCTTACCGATGATGATGACGACGGTTGAGATGGGCTGACGCGTGGCCTCGTCCGCTCCTCCAGTAGCATCGGCTTCAATCGCCGCCGACGGATGCTCGCCGTTGGTCTCCTCGGGAGACGGCATAACGTCGCGTTTTCCACTTGACGAATGAGATGCGAGGCGGAAAAAAAGAAAGAAACAGCGGCGGCGCCGCAAGTTACACTAATCTGTAATGGAGGACGCGACCGAACTCGTCCTCCGCTGATTTATGGGACACGGAAAAGAAGCTAATGGGCCAACGCGCGGAGAAATTCGGAAAATTATTAGGTCCCGTCACAGGTCATGGTATCTATCTTTGCATTCGAAGAAATCGGACATCTGACTGGTTCAATTTTTTTAATATAATCTTTTTGTTTTATGTCTTGTCAGTCCGATTGATCCGATCCGATTCAATTTGGCCAACTGTTTTTTTCATTTTAAACGTTGACGCTATTTTAGAAACCCGTAAAAGATCTAAATGTTTATTATTTTTGAAAAAAAATGATATAGAAAACTGCAAAAAAAGATATAGAATGCTCTCGGAAGACAAAGGGGGAAGGGGTGCATGAATCGGAAGAGATGCATGAATCGGAAACAAACTTAGCTGGAACTTTATCAGGTTTTAACATATCGGTAAGTTTCAATCTCATCGCAAGTTGTATTATGAAAAATGAGGTAAAAAGTTGTAAACAAAGCTGTGTAAAAAAGGGCATATATTTCAGCTCATTAAAGGCTCGGGCTCTTAGAAGCGCGTTTAGGGATTAGGCGGAAAAGTAAGAAAACTCTTCGATATTGTTGTTTAGCTTTCATTAGTGTTTTTAAGAAGAAGAACATCATTGTTTTTAGGGTTGATAATGAAAAAGATGATGAGCACTTATTTTGCTTTAAGGTAAGCTTTATGTGAGCTTTGAATGCGTTTTACATGCACTTTACATGTTTTTTACCTGTGCTTTACCTACGCTTTTTAATCTTTTTTATCATTTCAGACTGTTTATAAAGATGAGAGAGAAGCATATTAATGTTATTATACGTATGCACATGATAATGGCTTTAGCGTCCGGAATGATCATCACAGTTTCTGATCAAATTCTAGAAATATAAAATCCAAAGACTTTGTCTTTTCAAAAGCTAGTTTCAAGAAAAATATTGATCTGAATTCAAGAAAAAGATTTACTAAACAAGATGTTAGAAACGGTTGTCTATCCATAATGAGGTTTGCAGTTGATGAAGATGATTACTGACATGTCAAAAGATTTATTGAAACCCACAACCATGAATATGCTAGCCTAGCCGACCGACACCTTTTGAGATCATGTAGGAATGTTATTGAGGAAAAAGCTTTAGTCCTAAAATCAATGACAAATGCAGGGATTAGAACTGTTGATGCATATGCCTACCTTGTAGAGGAAGTTGGAGGATGTGAGAATGTTGGATTATCTAAAAGGGATGCCTAAAATTTTATTCAGAAGAGCAAGGATTGAATTTGGTGATACTAATTATTTGATTCAATTATTTAAATATCGACAAGATTATGACCACATGTTCGCATGGGATGTTCAAATTGATGAGTATGATATATTGTTAAATTTTTCTGGATTAATGGCTGAGGCAGGATAGATTATGAATATTTTGGAGATGTGTTGATTTTTTTATACTAGCTATAGGTCCAACAAGTACAATTTTGTACGTGCACCATTTATTGGTGTTAACAATCATTGGAAGAACATTTTATTAAGGGTTGTTTTTTTTTTTTTTTGTCAAAAGAAACAATTGAAAGTTTTACATGGTCGTTTAAAACATTTGTATGACTAATGGGTAATAAACATCCAACAATAATATTCACTGATCAGGACCAAGCTATGATCAAGGCCATAGAAGATGTATTACCTCACACTCATCATAAATTATGTCAATGACACATCTTTAAAAAGGTTTCATCATAAGTATATATCTTCAATAGCAACAATAAAGCCAAATGACTCTTCTATAAGTGTATGAGGAGGTGTGATTCTGAGGAAATTTTTGAGGAGGCATGAGTTGAAATGATCAAGGAAGAGAACCTTCATAATCATGAATGGTTGCATGATCTTTATAAGATAAAAAAAAAGTGGTCAACAGCTTTCAACAATGATTGTTTTAGCATGAGCATTTTATCAACACAGTGTAATGAGTGTACTAATAGTGTGTGTCATGGCATTTTGAAGCCAACAAGTTTATTAACTTATTATTTTCTTGGGTTAGAAAAAGTTTTGTTGAATTGGCGGTGAAATGAGCAGGATGAGGAGTTCAAATGCAATTAGTCTGAAATTGTTCTTGTGATAAAGAACAGCTCAATATTAAAGCAAGCTGCTCGATTTTACTCAAGAAGGCTATATTCATTTTTTAGAAAGAATTTATACAGGTTGTGGGAGAAATGAGTATAGACTTTGTCTCAACTGATTCTTCAAAGTTTTTAGTCAATTACATAGAGAATAAGGACCAACATCATCCTTGGGTGGTTGACTTTGATGCAACAAAAGGTAACATTCAATGCAGCTGTAGAAAGTATGATACAATGGGATTGTTGTATTCTCACTGTGTGAGGGTTTTCAAACAGTTGGATATGGCTAAAATTCCTGAGAAGTACCTACTATTGCGATGGTCAACATGGGCTCGAAAAGATATTTATTTATGTAACTTGGGCAATTTCAAAGAAATAATAACTTTGAATGTGATAGGGGATTTATATTCAAAAATTAAGTGAGCATATTTACATATCAAATGAACACATAAGCTCATGAGAATGAGGAGTCAGAGGAATATATTCTTGACATAATGAAAGACATGATTGAAAACTTATAGTTTATTCTTGGTGGCAAGAAAAAAAAAATAGAAGTATGCTGCAAGATTCCAAGGAGGCAGTGCAAATTTGAAAAATCTTCTAAAGCGTAGGCCTAAAGGCATATATAATGTTAGACTAAAAAACTAGTGGGAAAAGAAGAAGCGACCTAAGAGTAAGTTTTAATAACATGTCAATTATATTATTCCTTAACTAAGACTAAAGTTGTAGTTTTTAACATATAAGGAATCTTTGGCTGGGGGAAAAATAATGGATGATCCTTCTTCAACACAAATGAACTTCTCAAGCATATCTGAATGTTTCAGTGATGAATATATAATCGAACAACCAACTAGCCAACCTAGTGCTGAATACACCAAAATGATGATAGATTTCATACTTCGGAGTTAGAATGTAATGAATTTTCATTCTAATAATATTTATTAGGAACTCATGAATATTTATTGTAATAGGTATTGAATTTCAATAAAGAATATTTATTGGGACTTACTCATATTAATTGTAAGAATGTTTCAGTGAATATAAAATGTGCTTTGGTGCATTTTGGTTGTGCTTTTATTGCATTTTGGTTGCACTTTTGTTACACTTTTGTTGCATTTTTGTTGTGTTTTGGTTGCGCTTTAATTGTGTTTTTGTTGCATTTTGGTTGCGCTTTGATTGTGCTTTATTTTATCTTCATAAATTACTATTTAAAAATCTTCAAAATTTGAAATGTATAAATATTACAAAACAAATAAATACTATATATTAATATTTAAATACTTAATATTCACATTTACAAAACACAAATATTTACAATATTTTTTACATTTACTTTTTCGTAGTAAGAAAAAGAAAATATGTTAACTCTGCTCTAAATTTTGGCATATACTTTTGACAATCTTTATATGAAGCGCAGTCCATTTTTCTTTGTAGAATGGCTTTCTCTATATATTTACACATGAACATTCCATAATCAACATTATTTGACTGAGTTGGAATTCCACGAACAGTTTATAAATTTCATTTTGTTATATCGCTAGTAAAACATCCTTTAGTGCCTTTATACAAGTATTTTATTGAAACAAATAAAATTATTATTTTATTTTGTGTTCATATTGAGAAAAGAAAATATGATACTTAAAATCTGAATTTAACTTACAACATTATAACATTTATCCTTGTATTCTGAATTTGGTAAGGAATTATACAGTTTTTAGACTTTCTCTTTTAACCTTCCTATAATAAGTACCCAATGCTTATTAAAAATTATGGGTTGAATAATAAGACTATTTTTTATTTTCACAGAATCTGGATTAATGTGTTGGATAAACATTTCAAAATCTTGATTGTACCCCTTGTATACCTGCAATAAGTCAACAATATAAGAAAAGTAATGTGATAAATAGATTATAAATAATTATTATACTTATCCTGTACAATGGACAAATGTACAAGTAGCATTGAAATTTCTCTATCATTAGCCTACTCTTCTCTAATAATAAACAAGCAAAAGCATCTACATGGTTATCGCCAAACCATTAATTTGTGAGTAGATCATCAATATCTGCTTTGTTTATTGTTATATTACCATATGCAAATATTAAGTCGTCCATACAAAAAAGATAAAAATTATAAAGCAAACAAAGTACACTTAGAGCGCAACTAAAGCATATCCAAAGTGCATAGAAAAGCGTAAATGACTAAACTTATTTTTTATCAAACTTTCTGAAACATTTATTCTTAAAACTTTGTTGCTCAGCTATTAGGAAATCCTTGTGCTGGGTAACAATGTGCCTTTTCGGTTTGTAGCACCGAACTGAGAAAACAATGGAGCAGGTTTAGAGGTTTCCATTTAACCTCGATTGGTATGGACTGGATCTTATGTTCATTTCAATCGAGTGAAGTGGTTGATGAAGTCCTGAATGGAGGACCCTGGTATGTAAACGGTTTTATTGTTGGAATGGATAAATGGTCGGCTGCATTTGATCCAAACACGTTTAAAGGAATCTCGGCACCAGTTTGGGTTAGATTTCCATATTTACCGTTGTACTGCTGGGATGAGGACAATATCGCAAGGATTGCATCTTGCCTGGGAACGCCGATGTATATCGATGGCAATACATTTCGTTGGAGCAAACGAGAATTTGCTCGAGTTTGTGTTAGGATTGATCTGGAGAAAAAGCTGTTGAATGGTGTGTGGGTAAATGGCTCCGCTGGAAGGTTTTTTCAATGGGTTGAATACGAGAAAATTGATTTGCTCTGTTATCAATGTGGTAGAGTCGGCCACAACAGAGAGATATGCTCAGAAAATGTATCCATTGGAATACAAAATCAATCTTTGAAGGAGAAGGAAGTTGGTAAGGAAATTGGTGAGAAGAATGTGCAGGAAAACAAATCTTCAGTGATTAATTCTGAATATGGACCCTGGATCCATGTTCATTTCAAAGACAGAAGATATAACAGGGAAAATGTTGTTAGGAAG